ACAAAACCATTGAAATCACCAACACAGATCAGAGAATCAACAGTTAAAACACAAAACTATGCTATGCTGTTCTATGGACTGGGATCAAGTTATGGATGTGTTATATAATCTGGATAGGGTATTTTCTCATTTAAAACCTCCAGCACAGACTAGGGGCCACCTGCGGTACTGCATCTTAAAATCACACCGGCTGTAAGGAGATTTTAATAATAGACCTCAATGTTAACTACAACGGCTCGTCCTCAGCTGACAGGAAACCTACAGCGTTTACAATGGTTGGCTTTCTATAAATCCATACCTTTGTGCAACAAACTCTGCTCACTCTCGTCACATGCATTAGAGCAACGTGAGTGAGTGATTGATCAGAAAGATCACTTGTTGCTCTGTACTGCAGAACTACAACCTCGGTGCATTGACTGTGCAAAACCGGGAGAACCATACTTGCGCCATGACCATAATGTTCTTGTTATGGTCGGGGTTGGTGCAATTAAGGCATTGTGCATCGTAACTTAATGATCCTGATGCCCCATAATGGTTTAATGTTTGTATTAATGAGTATGACATGACTCTATATGCTGCAAGTGTTACTTTTATTTGAATTAAATGAGGATCTAACAGAATTCATGGTTACATACATTGGTGACGTGCCAACGCATAAATGTAGAATATTTTAAACATCATGCATCAAATAACTTTCTATCTGAACCAGTGTGTCTTTAGTGTTGAATCCTGTATCCTGCATTTCATTCATGTGTCCTGCTGGTACACTGGTCTCTGGCCCTCACGTGCTCTGAGCTGCCCCCCACCCCCCCTCCATGCCATCCTCTTTGTCAGTGTGCAGTGGACTGAACTCCAGGCTGATCCAATGTGGCGTTGGAAAAGTTGAGTTGAGGTTTTGTTTTCCCTCTTCCACACCATTGCAGGAATGTACCGGCAAATGCATTACAGAACTAAAAACAAATGATGATAACAGGAGACTTGAGTTTAAAACATTTTTGTGTTGTGAGATGAGGCTAAACACATTTAAACACAAGAAGTGGTATAAAGTATATCGTTTGTGTTCGCTTTCTAACATATTGACAATCAGAATTTGTTTTACAAAATTGCAAAAGGATTGAGTTCATACAGGGATCAAAAAATATACTGTATAGGACAAACACGCTGGATCTTTTCTTCCTTGTTTTCCAAAATGTGTTTAAATTGGAAACCTGTGTGCAACATTTTAGTCCCATACTTTTTTAGTCAACCTGCCTTATTTGTAATATTCTCAAACTTCTGTATTTCAATAGTGTCGAACCTTGCTTAAGATATTAAATGTTTTAAAAAGTTCATCCTTTGGAGTGGGACTCCTTGAAATTGTTAGACGCTGTAGAAAGATCCGACATTCAATGTCAAGTAGGTGGACATGTCAATAAATATACAGACTGGAGGTGACATTGGGTTTACAGTTTTCAAATTGCCCTCATAAAGAACAACTTCTGAACCAGGGGTGAAAGGAAAATAATCACCCCTAACAATAAATCATTAAAGATGCTACAGCTATGGCTTTGGGTATTGGTTCCAGGATAACAGTTGAACTGATGCTATGTTTGGACCAGTAAACTGTTGTGATAAAAATGTTTACTGGCCAGTTGTCAATGTCAATGAAACATTGGTATTGGAAATGAAAAAGCTGGATCGTTTTGCATATATTACAAAACCATTATACTAAGATAATTTAGTGGGATGTAAGCTTATCATTATTTTTTGTTTAAATTATACAATGTCTCACACCTTATATTACCTGATAATAGGTAAACTTCCTAGTATCCGAGTATTGGCGGTATGAGGCCATCCTCTACTATATTAAGACTACAAGATAATCACATGATGGCAGCTGAATTGTGATTATGTTATCAATATTTTACAATCAATTAGTAACAGGGACAGAGATGTACGTAACCCCACTGTATTTCTTTGAAAGCATTTTAGCATTTATTATATCCCTACAAGAATTTTTACAACAAAATCGGCTATAACATATTATTGGTTACTTTGAATTTACCAGTGGTGCCTAAAAAAATGCCTGTTCTTGTTGAACCATGCAATACAATGATATCAGAATCATCCATTTTGATAGTACATTTTCACTGCAGACAGTTCCTAGAGTCCTCACACACTCAAAATTCTGTATTGCTTTGTAGCATGTGTTCCCGCAGTCATCAGTATTGTGATTAAAAATTAGTGATGCGGCTCTGCTCCTGGCTGTCTCGTCACTTTTGCACCATTGGAATAATAGCGTGTGCGGGCCGTCCGGAGGTCCTGTACGCTGTGGGACCGGGGCAGTGGGGAGTGGGTGATGGGGGTGGGATTATTGGTGTGTGAAGACGCCAGATGTCAGTGGTAATAATGTGATGATGCCGCTGCGAGCGTACACGTGCGGCATGTGTGTGCACGTGAGCCTCTTGACTCGACTCAGCCGGGACTGGAGGTGATAATTAGATTTCAATTACTGCCTTCAGACTCTTGCCATCTTTTCCTCCTCGCTCACTCCTTCCCTCTTCAGAGATCTCACACACAGTTTGGGATATGGTCATGCCGTGCTACAATCATGCTAATTTATTGTCAGCTAAAAATGCTTCAAATCGGTGTCCCCGAGTCTGGTGCATAAATGTCATCGCAGGACATTAAACGGGATCTACAGTAGTCCATCTGGCTGATATTCAGTCTATTGTATGGGTTTAAAAGAAAAGTAATTTTTATACAGGATCTTACTGACGATAGTATAAAAATAACATGATAGTACAATGGTTTTTTTAACGTAATTAATAAGAACAAATGCTGTTAAAATATCCAATCTAAGAAAGGGTTAGGGTTAGGCCTATTGTATATTGTGTTTTTGTTTTTGTCCTTTGTATTATATTCAGGATGTAAATGTGCTTTATGTCAACGATTAATGTAATGGATTTACAATTATTATGTCTGGGATAATATTATCGCAGACATGTGTACATAACCACAATTATTGTCACTTTGAATTTCACAGTATGTTTATTTCAAAGCCAATTTATGACTCATAATTGATACATAAGCATATCAAATGCAGATACAAACCAATACCAGGGAGAAAAAATACACCTAAACTGCTCAGACAAAAAACATTGCTTTTAAATGGTACAAATCTAGAAAAATATGGACGAGATAAGCATACCTACTGCTAATTTGACGAGACCCGATAAAAAAGAGCAGCATGAATGTGGCTACAATGACTGTTTAGGATCCCACATTGGAGTCGCGCCAACTAAATGTTTGTGAATGTGGATGTTCCCACCTGAGAGCGACACAACCTCCTGCAGTGTGGGCCGAGTGAACACTGAGGTCTGAGTCTATACTAAAAAGTCTGATATCTTTGTTGTGTCCAATTATAACAGTTATCTATTGACTTTCAGTCCTGATGCGGTTGTTGGTAAATAAGGCCCTCTGTGTTAGAATAAAGCAATTGTTATCACAGTATATGGCTATTATATGGTTATTCTCCTCAAGATTCTAAACGTTTGACTGTTACGGTCATTTTTACTTTAACAGCTAATTTTAGGGTTATAATGTCTGGTCCCTTCAGCTGTGTTATTCTGTTGTTCCAATATTATCAACAACAGACAGAAGACTCAAAAAGAAATAGCTTGAATATTCAGGATAAATAGGTATCCCGATAGTATAATACATCCATGGTAAATTGACTGACGCTGGTCCATGTCCTCACAGCAGGTGAATCATCAATGGTGCTTCTGATCCGAGTCCTGTAGTAACATTTAAACTCAGAAAAACACTTCCCGACTTTATTGTGAACATGATTTCTGGTGGATGTCTGCAGGTGAGTTTGTAAAGTTTGTTTACGTCTCATAACACATAAAAGCCACCGCTTGGCGAGTAACTGAGGCTGGATCAAATGACTGAAATGCCAGCGAATGTAACTCAAAACAAAGTATGTTATCACAAAATGGGTTTAAAATAAGTGTCAACAGTAATAGAATTGAAAATTGGTTCCTAAAACTGTATGATTTGTGTCATGTCCTGCGTGGGCTGAAAATAACTGCTTTGAATGGTTCAAATATTGGAAGAACTTGTAAATTCTAGTAAGGAAATGCATCATGTTTTGGAGATTGTTTCACCCACGTTTCATTTCATGTTTCAATTTTGCATATCATATTTGAGTCTTCCCGCATTGTCCTGCTTCTGTTTAAACTACTACATTTGCCCACCCAGATATTTGTACTGACAGCCTTAGTTTGTATTTAAAAGGTCAAACATTATACAAAGAAATGTGACTTGAAATCGTGGAGTTTACAGTTCTGCATTATGGCACAGTGGGTAAATCAGCCATTCTTGAGCTTACTCATTATAAAGCCATGCACTTCAATCAACACCATGGCAGGTGTACATAGATGCAAAAAACTCATAGTGCAGTATACAGTTTGATAAAAAAGATACCCCAAATAGCACAATGACCCTCCTTTCAATTAGAACCAAATGCAGTATTGGGATTTTCACTCCAGTTTTTCCCCTCACATCTCCTGCAGAGACTCAGCTTCCCTCCGAGTATAGTAGTTTTCTCATGCACTCACAGCTGCAGGTCCATCCCCATCCCTGGCTGCACCCTATAATTTCTAACGAGTCTCAAACTGCGCAACGTCATCACTATCACATTACACGTCACCAGCACGCACGCACACACGCACATACACGGTCATTTACACATGCACAAACCGGAGAACGCATGCACTGGGTTAAATGCTTTCACGTCACATAGAATAGATGGGCGGCATGCTTCACCACCAACACCCTGACCCCTACTAATGCGCGTGTGGCAGCAGGGGGGAGGAGGCGAGGGGGGGGATGCTTTGACAGGCAAGATAGTAGGCAGCAATGTTGCCTTAAATAAATGAACTTGGCACACGAATCGTCATATAAAACTGCCATTCCCACCCTCTTCTTTACAACACCCATTCTGCCTGGGTACTTACTGGCTTTCCCCGGCCGAGGTCTCTGTAGCAGCCGCTGGACGGTCATCAGGTCCTCGGTCTTCACGGCCTGGAGCAGCTCCTGGTCCTTCCCCATGTCCCCTCCCACCTCGGTCCAAACTAGTCCGCTGTGCCTCGCTCCACAGATGTGAACCCACTACATGGCTGTGCTTTGGCGGGCCTCCTCCGTACAGCTTCACGGGGATGCTCTGTGGAGGCGCGCACGGTCACTCGCGACACATCCCACTTCTGTAAATGCTGTCCGCGTGACTCTCTCGCCGGGTCTGCCTGGTCTCCTCCTCCCGATTCCCGTACGTATATGCGCCGATGTGGTCGCGCACGGTCCAGAAGCCTATCTGACGCCTCTCTCCGTGCGCGCTCAGGGACACGGCACGCGAAAGAATCACTCACAGCACCGCAATGACACGGACCACTAGTGTGTGTGTGAGTGCGCGTGTGTGTGGAGATCCAGTTGTTGTAATCCCTGCGCGTGCGTGTGTCCGTTTAGTCCAGGCGCGCTCATAAATAAGTCTTCGGAGGTCGTTTGAGCGCGCACTGACTCGGGACAGGCCAGTACCAGTGTGTGTTCATGTTTCTTCTGTCACATGAGTTCACTCTGCGATAAGCACATAATAATGAAAGACGATTCTGTGCATCTTTGAAAACATCTTAGTGTTTTGAATGCACTGGAATAATTATAAAAACACGTGTCCTTCCCTGCTGGATAAAGAAATCATTCGACAGTCTATGGTCCCTCTTCAAATTGTCAATGTCTCCTCTGGGTACCCTGGTGGATTCATGTTCCAGCTTCTTTCCTTTAGGTGTAGAAATCCACGGAAACCGTTTCTTCCCACAAACTGTCATTTGTCTGAATAGAGCACTGATATTATTGATCTGTTAAAAGTGCATGATTATTTTGTTTTGAATCGTCATTATGAACTTAAACGTCTTTAAACAGGGTCAATTGTTTTATGTTTTGTAGAGGCTTTGAATTTGTTATTTTTAATCTTCTGTGCACACTGTGTAATTTTACACAAATATACCAATGTGGTTTTTAACTGCACATGGCAAATAAACTAAATCTGAGTACTGTGAGCGCACTGCGAACAGTCTTCCTGAAAATTTGAGACAAATATTCTACTTAAGGGTTACATTTATTTGCATTTTGGATTTTTATCTTATAGTCTGTTCAACATTGATTTGCAATTTGAATGAATAGTGTTTGCAATTACAAATACATTTGAACTGATCTATGATTCAAAATAGTTCTTTGGGGCATTTGGGATCAAGGCAATACAATCTTGCAGTTTCAAGTTTCAAAGTGCCCATTTGTGAGAATAGACACTTTTACTTCAGTGTTTATTTCCAATTGGAATCACAGGAAGAAACTTGATTAAAATACCATCATATTTCAAGTAAACTTGAAATCACTCAAACCATACCTTAAATTAACTTTAGCAAGATAGATATTTATTGATCCCATTAGGAAAAGTTCAGGTGTCCAGTAGCAGCAAAAATAAAATGTATCATTCTAAAAAGCTAATAATAGTATTAATCAGCCACAGGCCTTCAGGTCACAGCAGCAAAGTTTGATAGTCTCTGTGTGGTGCAGGACAGGTCACAGCAGCAGAGGTGGGGTAACATCCGGGTGGAGCAGAATGGGCCACAGACGCAGAGATGGAGTAGCCTCTGGGTGGAGCAGAATGGGTCTCAAGGTGGAGTAGCCGCTTGGTTTGGACCATTTTCTCTGCTCTAGTCTAAAATAAAATGCTAAATGCTTCATTAGAATTTTTCTAATAAGTAACTATTAGTAATAGTAGTAAGTAATAGTAAGAATAATTATTTATCAGTGTGCATTGCATAAATATGTCTCCTCTATTATTGTATAAATGAGCGCCAGTCTATTAGATTTAATGAGACGGATAATTTCACAGTGTGCTGATATCGTTGGGAGCGTCCCCTGTGTCTAGGGCTCATTTTGACTAAAGGGGCCAGTGGCAAAATTAGAACCACAAGTAGAGCAGAAGTCACAAGTCTGAAAGCATCCAAACGTCCAAACATATTTACTTATCTGTGCCGTGGGACCTAGTTTTAATGAAAACAACGTACTCCATGACGTTTAAAGGCTCAACGTCAAGAAAACAGAACTGGAAATACAACTCTGGAATATTGTTATGGTGTCACTTGACTGAATACTATTTTTTCCCAATACTATTATTATTTTGGGATGATAAAGTCAGGTCAACGTTGTCCAAGGCCATCATTACAGAACTCTTGAGTGAGCCTCAATAATGTTTTCTCTGTGACGCTCTAATATAACTAACATATGTATGACTATTACTACAGCTGCATCATATATGGTATACATTTTATTATTCTATTAAATTGAGCCAGTCTTTTTCCAAGTGCATATATACACATACAGTGCCTTGCAAAAGTATTCGGCCCCCTTGAACCTTTCAACATTTTGCCACATTTCAGGCTTCAAACATAAAGATATAAAAATTAAATTTTTTGTCAAGAATCAGCAACAAGTGGGACACAATCGTGAAGCGGAACAAAATTATTATTATTGGATCATTTAAACTTTTTTAACAAATAAAAAACTGAAAAGTGGGGCGTGCAATATTATTCGGCCCCCTTGCGCTAATACTTTGTAGCGCCACCTTTTGCTGCAATTACAGCTGCAAGTCGCTTGGGGTAAGTCTCTATCAGTTTTGCACATCGAGAGACTGGAATTATTTCCCTTTCTTCCTTGCAAAACAGCTCGAGCTCGAGCAGTGCACGACTGATTGTTGTCCTATGGACAGACTCTCCCACCTCAGCTGTAGTTATCTGCAGTTCATCCAGAGTGATCATGGGCCTCTTGGCTGCATCTCTGATCAGTCTTCTCCTTGTTTGAGATGAAAGTTTGGAGGGACGGCCGGGTCTTGGTAGATTTGCAGTGGTCTGATACTCCTTCCATTTCAATATAATTGCTTGCACAGTGCTCCTTGAGATGTTTAAAGCTTGGGAAATCTTTTTGTATCCAAATCCGGCTTTAAACTTCTCCGCAACAGTATCTCGGACCTGCCTGGTGTGTTCCTTTGTCTTCATGGTTCTTTCTGTGCTTTAAACAGAACCCTGAGACTATCAAAGAGCAGGTGCATTTATACGGAGACTTGATTACACACAGGTGCATTCTATTTATCATCATCAGTCATTTAGGACAACATTGGATCATTCAAAGATCCTCACTGAACTTCTGGACTGAGTTTGCTGCACTGAAAGTAAAGGGGCCGAATAATATTGCACGCCCCACTTTTCAGTTTTTTGTTTGTTAAAAAAGTTTAAATTATCCAATAAATTTCGTTCCACTTCACGATTGTGTCCCACTTGTTGTAGATTCATGACAAAAAATTAAATTTTATATCTTTATGTTTGAAGCCTGAAATATGGCAAAATGTTGAAAGGTTCAATGGGGCCGAATACTTTCGCAAGGCACTGTACTACTCAACGGCCCAGCTTCAAACAATTTAAAGTCTATAGTTTAATGAATAATATACATGTGACAAGAGCTATTACAAAACATGAACTTCAAATGATCATATTTATTTGTGCGGAAATATAGTGATTGTTGAAGTACAAGTTGAGCGTCTGAAATTCCAATAAGGGATGATGTTCTATACCGATATATTATTATGATCTTACAGCTTTGGTGCATGTAAACAAAACCACAACACAAAACAGTAATGTGTGACTTAGTGGTGGGTGAACAGCTTTCATGTTTCTGAACAAGTCTCAGTCTGGGCCCTACACCCACAGTGCTCGCTGCATTGGCACTAGTAAAGAACAAAAGCCCAAAAGTGTTTACGTGTTATTTATGTCATCATCTCAGTCATCAAATCATTGCTAGAGCAGAAGTCAGGAACCTTTTTTCTGAGACAGCCAAAACAGTCTCCTACCTAAACATGTATTTCTATGGGAGCCGTACATGCATGGCTTTTTTAAACAAGATCAACACATTTGGAGAGTAAACTGAGCTTACTCAAATTGAATTCTTTTGTTTAATACAAATGTTGTACTGACAAAATCTAACACATAAAACCATTTACTATGATTACCTACCAAGATTTGTCTGGGAGCAAAAAAGCCACATCTAGCTCCCGAGCCATAGGTTCCTGACCCCTGTGCTCGAGGATTCAAAGGAAATGGAGGATGGCTCAGGCCAGAAGTAAAAGCGTTTTTTTTTTTTACATTGATTCTCCAACAGAAATGGTTGTATCCTTCTAAAAACACTTTCATAATGTCCGAAAGCCTATCAAAATAAAACACAACAATAAATAGCATATCAAAGCAAAAACTAATATTGTGTTGCAAAATGTTTGAGCGCAAAAAGTATACCTCCTAATCCTAATATGTTCCTATTCCTTTCTAAACTTTGAAGGTCCTATGTTACGCTTTTTGACTTTTCTATGCTTTAAACCTCATTACAGTGCTACTTGGCTATTTGTTCTGCCCTTACTCCGTAAAATACGTAATTTTTTGTCGTCAAAGTACTCCATATGAATCTTCTTTAAAACTTGTCATCAACAAGTTAAAATGATTGAATGTTTTGTTTTATGTTTTTTTTATTTACATTGTGGTTATGTTATTTATGATCAAGAGTTTTAGATTTGTTATTTTATTAGCGCTTGAACAGAAGCTCGCGAGACCTGAGGTGCAGCAGTATTGTCTGTCTGACGTGCTTTAGTTTGGTTTTTAATCGTGTAAAAAATAATAATAAAGTGCACGTTGTAATAGATCATTACTAAATATCCCTGTTTGTTCTGCGCCAACTCCATAAAGTTTCACGCGGAAAATAAAATCTGCATTTCCACAATCAAAAAGAACTTCCATGTCTGCTGTGCTTCTTTTCCCAGCAGCACATCTCAGCTGTTCACTCCCAGGGAACACAGCGCAGAGTCCAAAAGCTGGGAGCGCTGGCACCACATAAAGCCAGAGGCAGAAAATGAGGGTTATTGACATTGCCCAATCGGAACTGTACATTAACCACCCATAACTTGTGCAACAGTACTGTGGACAAACAAAAAGAACTTAATGGTAATTTCTGTCCTGGACCTGTTTTTTTGCGTTTGTTATTATTATTATTATTATTATTTAAGTAACAACAACAAAAAAGAAGCAAAATAAAACACAAAGTGAGCGAAGCTTAGTTTTCTAGAAGTAACATTCCTCATGCAATATCCCCAAAGGAGTTTGGACAATTGGCCACTACTATCCACAGAAAAAAAATAAAATGCTTGACTTAACTTTAACAGTTTTAATGTAGGTTGTGTTATCACTCCCCAGATTTGATCAGCCCCAAATCCATTTTAAATGTTATAAAAGTCCATCCATCCATCTTCTACCCTTTAATCCATTTCTGGGTCAGGGGGGTGGCAGTCAGAGATGCCACCCAAGTCTCATAGCACCAGCCCCTCACTGACCCTCTGCAGGTGGTGAGTCCACAGGAGGACGGCTGCTCTCTGAGTGTGAGCATAGCCTTGATCTTTCAGTGGGGGCTTTGGGAAAAGTGGGGTTAAGTGTCTTGCCCAAGGACACAACGACAGCAGTCATCAGTGGGAGTCGGTGGAGAAGGTGTAGAGGTGGGAATTGAACCCACGACCTTCAGGCCTGAAGGCCAATGCTCTACCAACTGAGCTACTGTCGCCCCTTTGTTATAAAAGTATTATGGGAAATTTGAATGGTGATTTTTTTTTTTTTTTTTTACTTCTGGAAATTAAGTAAGCCGAGCTTAAGGTTTCAGGAAATAAAATTCACAATGTTACAAAATATTTTAGTTCTTGTAGTATGACCACAAGAACTACATGAATATACAGAATAACATGCATTAATAAAACGTAAAAAACCAGGAAAGTTAAAGGAGCAGTATGTAAGAATCTGGCAAAAAGTGGTACTACACTCTCCCTGACTCAGGTTTCCAGATATGCAGGCGAATCCAGCTGGGACCATATTATCTGAATAAAAAAACAACAAATCTAAAACCAACACCGGTTTTACATAGACAGAAATCCTGGTTTTATTCCTTGTTTTGTCATTAATGATTTGAGAATCATAACGAGACCTTTTTTAGTTCTGCAACCACTAGTTACTTTACCAGTGAGATTAGCTTGACCCGGATCACAGGCTTTCTGATTGGTAAAACGGTGGAGGGCAGGACATCAAAATGAAAACAAAAACAAGATTTAGGGGCTCTGAAACTAATTTTGAAATCCAAATATCTCGGATGAACTACTGTATCAGTAGAAGAAGATTTTGAAAAGAGCATGATTTATTAATGCCTTTTGACAGATTAGGGCCATTTAAGGATGACTGGACATACATATTGCTACTTTAAGCAAAAAACGACATTGTGTTTATTGTGTCAAAAACACCAGGCTCAAGATTGGTTAACAGATCGGGAGTAAGTCTCCGTTGTGTCTTCAAACTCCTTCTTACTAGACTGATTTTAAACTGTGATTTTTACTTCTGGAAATTAAAGCTCTGCCCAATGCAAAAAACACAAAGTAATACTACCGGTCCGATAGAAATTGTCACTGTATAAATAACAGAAAAAACATGAATGATAAATATCTACACGTTGCCGTTTCTAAATAGAATACGGATATAAATAAATATTCTGTTTGTCTTTGTTGCTGAGTCCGGACACCGTGCTGATGCAGTCGGCTCCATAAACGCGCACCAGGGCCCTGCGGCACATGTGCGTCAGCCGCTCCGGCCGCTGTTTGCGGTAGGGCGTGCTCAGTTTGCAGCTCGGCCCGGTGTAGTGGCTGAGCAGGGCAAAAAAGGAGGCAAAGCTTTTGTTGCTGCCATGGAGACTGAACTGGAGGTCTTTGTTGAGCAAAACTCGAACGCTGGTGGGACCATCATCGCTGCTGTAACTCAGAGTGAAGAAGACATCGGATTGGATGCTGTCCCTGCACAAACAGGTACAGATCAATCATAAAAGCCATGAGCTATGCAATTAAATAAGACCAATGTGTTTACATTTGTCAGACTTACAGTGCCTTGCGAAAGTATTCGGCCCCCATTGAGCCTTTCAACATTTCGCCATATTTCAGGCTTCAAACATAAAGATATAAAATTTTAATTTTTTGTCATGAATCAACAACAAGTGGGACACAATCGTGAAGTGGAACGAAATTTATTGGATAATTTAAACTTTTTTAACAAATAAAAAACTGAATAGTGGGGCGTGCAATATTATTCGGCCCCTTTACTTTTAGTGCAGAAAACTCAGTCCAGAAGTTCAGTGAGGATCTTTGAATGATCCAATGTTGTCCTAAATGACTGATGATGATAAATAGAATGCACCTGTGTGTAATCAAGTCTCTGTATAAATGCACCTGCTCTTTGATAGTCTCAGGGTTCTGTTTAAAGCGCAGAGAGAACCATGAAGACAAAGGAACACACCAGGCAGGTCCGAGATACTGTTGTGGAGAAGTTTAAAGCCGGATTTGGATACAAAAAGATTTCCCAAGCTTTAAACATCTCAAGGAGCACTGTGCAAGCAATTATATTGAAATGGAAGGAGTATCAGACCACTGCAAATCTACCAAGACCCGGCCGTCCCTCCAAACTTTCATCTCAAACAAGGAGAAGACTGATCAGAGATGCAGCCAAGAGGCCCATGATCACTCTGGATGAACTGCAGATAACTACAGCTGAGGTGGGGATGGTGTGTTCAGGGTGATGAGCTGTGTTGCTTTTACGCCAAACATATCGTTTTGCATTGTGGCCAAAAAGTTTGATTTTGGTTTCATCTGACCAGAGCACCTTCTTCCACATGTTTGGTGTGTCTCCCAGGTGGCTTGTGGCAAACTTTAAACAAAACTTTTGGATATCTTTGAGAAATGGCTTTCTTCTTGCCACTCTTCCATAAAGGCCAGATTTGTGCAGTGCACGACTGATTGTTGTCCTATGGACAGACTCTCCCACCTCAGCTGTAGTTATCTGCAGTTCATCCAGAGTGATCATGGGCCTCTTGGCTGCATCTCTGATCAGTCTTCTCCTTGTTTGAGATGAAAGTTTGGAGGGACGGCCGGGTCTTGGTAGATTTGCAGTGGTCTGATACTCCTTCCATTTCAATATAATTGCTTGCACAGTGCTCCTTGAGATGTTTAAAGCTTGGGAAATCTTATTGTATCCAAATCCGGCTTTAAACTTCTCCACAACCACGACCTGCCTGGTGTGTTCCTTTGTCTCCATGGTTCTCTCTGCGCCTTAAACAGAACCCTGAGACTATCAAAGAGCAGGTGCATTTATACGGAGACTTGATTACACACAGGTGCATTCTATTTATCATCATCAGTCATTTAGGACAACATTGGATCATTCAAAGATCCTCACTGAACTTCTGGAGTGAGTTTGCTGCACTGAAATTAAAGGGGCCGAATAATACTGCACGCCCCACTTAAAAATCCAATACATTGTGTTCCACTTCACGATTGTGTCCCACTTGTTTTTGATTCATGACAAAAAATTAAAATTTTATATCTTTATGTCTGAAGCCTGAAATGTGGCGAAATGTTGAAAGGTTCAAGGGGGCCGAATACTTTCACAAGGCACTGTACATACAACTGCATGCTTTTGAGCCTCTGCAAAGTTAGATTTCCAACTTCCTACCACCTACCACCAAATGGCTATTATCCTATTAGCCATTCTGTAAATACTACTCTGAAACCCTGACTGATAAGTGTATATACAGAGTATATACAGTATACGTTTTGAATGTACCTTAGGACAGTATACTTTATATTTATGAAAAATCCTATGGCTCATCTAAGACTATATTTACATTAGAATAATATGTTTGTTCAGATTGAGAGACTAGTGTTTAATATCAATTTATTTTTAAATAAATAATAAATTGCGTTAACATCGTTATTACCGTGTTTAACACTGTCAGAGAGTTTGTGGGTCTTCCAAGGGTCTTTCATCAGGGATATTGCAATACCATTGCACAACACTTCAAACATCAAGGCAAAGACGATAATAACGCTGTTCTTTGAGTTCATTATATTTAGTATTTTATCATATTGCATGTGCTCGAAATGACTCTATATCTGCTTGCTCTATTGTCAAGGGAGGAAATCTTTAACAGAGGTCGTCATATATTTACTAACAATACCAAAAGAATGAGAAGAGTTAGCTACCTGATGAGGAAAGAGCCTTGGGGAGCAGAGGACAGTATGGCGTGGGCCTGATTCATGGTCAAGGCGCCCCAGTAGTACCCGCTGTGCAGGAGCTGCAGATGTGTCTCCTTCACCAGCTGGTACTGCTCTGCACTGCTGAAGGCTCGCAGGTGAGTGGGCAGAGGAGCACTGTCCACCTCGCTCAATGGCTGCCACACAACAACAGCCACATTTAATTCATTGCGATGGCTGCTCCTGATTATAGATGTAAAAAATGGCGAAGATTGGATGGCAATATTGGGTCCATACCATTATGGAGGGAAGAATTGTACTTTTGTCAGTTTTCTGACAATAGAACAGTTTCTATTATGAAAAATATGTTCAAAAGCAAAGTTTAACAATTTGTGCATTATCAATACTTTTATCTCCTATTATATTTAAAGGAGAATGTTCTTTACATTTTAGGACTTTTCAAAACGTGCAACTCACCAGTGTTTAACCCATTTCTTTGAACAGGCCAAATGTAAACACAGTGGAGGACGCATCCTATCCCTGGATGTTGTTTTTTGATTGCATAACTTCTGAGAAGCAGGGTTGCCGCTAATGATTATTTCAGTTGATGCAGTCGGTGATCACATTAGTGGACTTACTTTTATCACTAATTGCAACATGATGTTTGAATGCTTCTAGTTCATTATTGTTTCATCTTTTACCATTTGACCATCCTTCTGGGATGTATTTATAGTCCAGTTAACTCATATTATAGTCAAAACTCAGTTCTGATCAATTGTAGCAGTTCAACAACTATTTGCAACAGCTAAATTGTTGAGCAGATAAATGAGCATTACATGAAAAACATGACAAAACTGAAAAAAGTAACACAAAAATAGTAATATCCCCTTTTGTCTTTTGACATCTATCGCTCAAATTAAAAGCTGGACAAAGATGAACTTATAGGGATTTCCAGGAATAAATCTGCTTGCCTTCCCCAATTAACTCAATAACAGTTGAATCACTTGACCAGGGGGGTCAAACTCCTTTTGAATGGGGGCCAAATTTACAAACGTGGTTGGGGTCAAAAATATGAATGTTCTTTACCTTTATTATCATTTCTTGGCCTTAACTACGCATAAAATGCAATAGTATCCCCTTACCATTAAGGCCGCAAGTTACTGTGATGATAATTGAAATTGGTCTAGCGGGCCGGAATTGGCCCACCACGGGCCTGAGTTTGACAGGCCTGACTTAGACCATTGACAATGGCTGAATTATAGGCTTTTCTTCTGAACAAAATTAGTTCAGTTGTGTTTGAATTGAACCAAAAATGAACCAAAAGTGAAGAAGGATTGTTAGTGTAGATTGATAAGCCAATTATATATTTCTATTGAACTTTTACTCTTTGGGCCTCATGTTTGACACTTGTGTACGACGCCAAAAAGGGCATTTTGAAAAATTCCAAATATTATCAATTCATCTTCTGCTAAGTCTATTATCTCTCAAAAGGCAATTACTGAAAAGACAAAGGTAGAACACACATGACAAATTACTTTAACAGCAAAAGGAAGCAACACACATTCCAGAAGAGAAAACGATTTCCAGAAACATATGGAATGTTCATGAAATGTCAAAACCTAATAATGCCTGAGACCATGCAAATCTAGTAAAACAGAATAAATATAAATATATTACATGTTCATCAAACTTACTAAAATGTTTCAGATCCTAATGAAAAACAGCAAATTTTCTGACAGGGTGCAGCTTTAATGTATTGTTGTATCTCAGTGCAAAGTGAAAGCAAAAGACAAGCAGCTCTCATACTGCAACAAAAAGAATTTGTGCCTTTGGTGAACAACAATTAGAAAGATATGCGATGCAATAAGTCGATGTTCTCCCTTGGCCTGTCACATTACAACATGTCTGTGATACTGTAACTATATTATTGAAAATGCCCTTTACAAAAGAACGTTGCAAAACATGAGCTGCGAATGATAAACAGCAGACAGAGCCATACTTTTAAGTGACTCAGCCCTCCACAGCTGGCAATTATTTGATGCCTTAAGGTCTTATTCGTCAGCCTTAAAAGTGCACGAAGCCACTTTTTATGTGAGAAATAAAGTTCATATTTTTGCGCATTTGATCGTGTAGTGACCCAGTGGTTGTAATAATGGTAAGATGGTGCCTTGACTTTTGATCATGGTTGTGTCTGCAGTGCTCCAGGATGAACTTTAGCTTTTCTGGAGCCCATCAGAAGAGGAAGCAAAATATTTATCCTATAAACAGACCACTATAAAGTAAAGGCATCATGGTGACCTCATACAACTGCTGGGTCACGTCAAATATGCAAAAATGTAAACTTTTTTTTCCACTTGAAAAGTTGCATAATTCTTCTTGTAAACCAGTGCCAAAAATAGAGTATGGAAGATTCTTGTTTATTGCAATAGTCTCTGTATTCTGTAGTATTTGCTCGGTTCAACACACAATGTGAGGAAGTTATGCAAAACATGATCTATTTCTGTGAAGTTGTTCCGTTTAAGTGAAAACATAAATTTCACTTTCAGTATGACAAAAGTTATTGAAGAGTCATAAAAAATAACAAATGCTGCTTACGTTGACAAACATAACTTGTATAACTTGTGAGGAACTAACAGAGAAACAGATGCAATGGGTATAATAACAGTTATTCCAAATTTCCGTTTCAGGTCAGAAGTAACAAATCATTACGATTCAGTTTTACAACAGATTTGCTTGGATTAAATCTTTCACATACTTAAAGACTGTGCAGTTTGATAGTGAGGAGCTACATGAAGTAAAAAACTGAATATGTTTATATGCATTAATTTAATTTTTTACAATGTAGAGAGGAGTCATAGCAACCTCATTGCAACAGATTCTGTCAGAACAAATGCTAGTAGTCCTTGTGCGCCATCTACGAGCTGATGGTGGATAAAAGGAACCTGACTGGTCGGCTATTAGGGGACATACCTGGATTCACTAAGTACTATATAGAAAACAAACAAAGAAAATGTAAATTAATAAAACGCAAACATTTGATGCCCAAAATTGTGAGTATTACAAAAACTGATACAGAGTAAGATATGAGGACTTTACAATCCTGAAAGCCAGCGAGTAATCACTGTCCATCTTCATATAGTCTATGGGAAAACAGCTCCATAACTCACCTGCAGTGAAATTTCTTCCGCTCTGTCTCTCCTTTGCTTTTCAAGAATTTTTCTATGACTATCAGTCACATCCTCTGAGAGCATCCTAGAGCGGGGCCCCCAATGGCCCCTGTCCTCCTCTGTGCTCCGGGACATCCTCCATAGTGGTGGGGAAGGGACATAGGTGTCACTTTGTTGGTGTTCCGAAATGCTCCATGCTCAGACAAAAGCAGTGTGAGATTACAATCAGGATGGCTGGGTGTAACGCAAGCCAGTTCTAGGCCATGGAGAGACTGTCACTCTTTAGCTGAAAGATACCAAAAATATAACTTCAATGTAGTCATATATTGAGTATACTACTTCTGGTTAGCATAGTATTGTATAGCTTTGCTTGTTTGTTTTGTTTGTCTAAATGTTGTTGCTTTCCTACAATGTAATTTTGTAAGTTATTGTCATTGGTTATCGGTCAACAATTTTATACAGAACACTGTGTCTAATTAACGTGTCTTAAAAAATGAGGTCTGTTCATTTAAGTGGATTTAATGGATTGCTAAATATAATTTATTTTGTGATTGCACTAACTGTAGAATACATACATTCACTACTTTATACACTATTGATGAGAAAAGCATTATTCGATGTTATATTTTAAATCACGTTTCGTGTGTGGTTGCTAAAACTGATGCATAACATATGAAATGACAAAATAACCATATGAAAAAAAAAACTAAATAAAAGGAAAAAATACATACAAAATCAAGCATGGATAGCGAAAGAAATGATTGGATGCATTTCTTTAATGATGCTGTGAAAGGGTATGCAGGGGGCGACTTACTTTGAGAAGAAGCGAAATCATTGTCCGCTCTTGCGCTGCAAAGCCAACCAACTTCTCTTGGACACTTTCGTTTGAGTTTTTGGCTGTACACAAAGAGGAGGTTCTTTTACTTTTGAGTTCGATCCAGGGCGAAACCATGGAGCCTGCCCCTTCAGGTGAAGGCTGAACTTTTCTTTCACTTTCATTATAAGAAGAGCGGTTCCCATAAGTCACGTGACATTTTGTAAAATAGATCCTTGATCCAGAAGAAAGGTTGTTTCAACCTTATTTTGGAAAATAATCTTGATTCTATGTCGTGTATTTGTGTGCAAAAGAGACGACTCAACCCGAGTGATATTGAAAAAATAGGCTTTGCCTTGTGCATAACTAATACGTTAGCTGTTGTTAGTAATGCAAATAAGTTATACTTATTGAGTTGATTGGGGGAAACCACAAGAAAAAATAAAAATACTTCCACTTAGTGGAGTAAGCATAAAGTACATTTAAGTTGAAGTAGAACACGCGTTGCTGATGCATAGTGATTTTACCTTTTGCCACAAGATGACGCCAAATTGTCAACCCTGAGCACTGGACTCGGCATTAAACCAGCTGCCTTTCCAAAATAAATTGCATGATTTTCAAATAATCCTTCTATACTAGACTCTACTTTCTAAATTAAGAAAGGTAAGTTTATTTATTTTATAGGATAATACATCCAAGACTCTTGACCCTACTTTGCCTGAAGCCCCTGCTGAAAGATCTATCCTCCTGTGGACTCACAACCTGCAGGAGGATCCGTGAGGGGCTGGTGCTATGTGTACTGGGTGCAACTCTGACTGTCAACTGGATTGTAAAAGTCCAGACTGGATGCAGGAAAAATATATATATTTGATACAAATCCAACTGCTTGTTGTGTGGACACTGGATCACCATTGGAGGTCCCCGTGATACCCCTAAACGCTACAAAATTATAATAACTGGTTTTAAATGGTTGACGATTACACTTGCTTTCTTGGAGATAGCATTTCCATCCATCCCTTTTCTACCCCTTAATCAATTTCTGGATTGGGGGGTGGCAGTCAGATCAGCCCTTCACTGATCCTTCTGCAGGTAGTGAGTCCACAGGAGGAAGGCTGCTCTTTGGCATAACCTTGGTCTTTTAGTGGGGGCTACTAACAAAGTTGGATTAAGTGTCTTGCCCAAGGACACAACAACAGCAGACATCAATGAGTCATTGTAGAAGGTCTTGTGTGGGTTGTGAACCCACAACCTTCAGGTTCAAAGGCCAATGCTCTACCAACTGAGCCATAAGTTTGCATTTCCTTACATACTGAACCACATCATATTTGACATCCACAACTACTCACTCACCACAAAGAAATTACATTCGGATTAATAGATTGCTTAAGATTTAATTTATTAAGAGTTAAGTTCTCCATGTCATCTTCAGAGTCTTCAGACAGTGGGGCTCGAGGAAATTTTTCCCTGTCTATTTTGCTTTTGCATCATGAAGACCGCTGCTGTGGCAACCAGGATGCTATACGTAGCCAAGACGCACTGTAAAACAGGACAGAAGACAGAACAGAAGACAGGATAAAATAGCACATTTTACAACTGTATTTTACAGAACAGATAAGACCAGATATCTACATTTGTGGCTTTCACTTTTAGGAGAGGGAATTTAAAAATAGCAACACAAATATTAATCACTTCACTTGTTATTCCAGGTCCGTGATCTGTCAGTCTCTCTGCCCATGTGTTATGAAGTTATGCATTGTAATGAATGTACATTAAAGGTTATGCATCTTTGAAGTGATGTCAGCCTCTTCAATCATCCATCCATCAATCCTTTTTCTTCCCGTTAATTAACGGCCTCTCACTGATCCTCCTGCAGGTGGTGAGTTCACAGGAGCCTTGATCTTTCAGTGGGGGCTTCAGGAAAAGTGGGGTTAAGTGTCTTGCCCAAGGACAAAACGACAGCAGACATCAGTGGGAGTCATGAAGTAGGTCTTGTGGTGGGCTTGAACCCATGACCTTCAAGCTCTCCAACTGAGCCACTGGTTTGATGGCCAACTATAATTGACCATAAAATACCAAATGAATGTGCAGAAGCAAGCTAAATCATCACAAATAAGATTGGCTGGAGGGGAATAGTTAATACCAATGTTGTGCTAAATAAATTCTAATAAATATATGCTTTTAAATAATGTGTTAACATTTTCAAATTGATCCAATAATTGCATGGAGCAATTATTGGATCGATTATAATATTATTTCACTACTTTTGAATACATTCAGGAAGAGGAGAGGGCATCGGGGGCCGTATTTGATTTAGAAAATGTTTGTATTGTGTGATACATACATTCCGTCGTCCCTGTGGTGTATAGCTATTAAAGTACTTCCTCCAGCCAGTGAACTCCAGCGACGCAGGGGGCTCTATGCCAAACAGCTGCCTCTGAAACACAAGAAACACAAGTTTCCAACTGTTCTGTTTATGTGCTTAAACTTGACTTACATGTAGCGCAGGATCAACTTTACCAGACAGTTGTTTGAATCCAATGTCAAGTTACAACGAGTCATAATGAATGTGAAAGTAACAGATTGACCATGACACTTTAATTTAGTTTCTTATTGAAATTCTAGATGACGATCTATAGCTGATGGTGCTGTGCACAGAAAGGAGAAAACTTAACCTAAACATAAATGCTTTTAATCTGAAAGTAGAAAGTGTTTCACTGACTCACCTTAACTCACTTTTAATGAAATTAGAGTTTCTGTGCATGTGATGATAATCAAGATTGAGCAATGTCGATTTGCACTGAATCTAGTGAGTGAGTAAGAGTTAGTGGTGGTTTCTAGATAGATAGATAGATAGATTCTTTATTGATCCCTGTAGGGGCAATTCAGGTGTTCAGTAGCTGCAAAAATACATCCATTCACACTAACAAAACAAATAGATAACTAAGCTAACAGTGTATAACAAACAACAGCACTTCAGGTCACATCAGCAGAGGTGGAGTAGCCGCTGGGTGGAGCAGGACCGGTCACAGCAGCAGAGGTGGAGTAGCCTCTGGGTGGAGCAGGACCGGTCACAGCAGCAGAGGTGGTGTATCCTCTGGGTGGAGCAGGATGGGTCACTAGCTATACTGGTGCAGATTGGCGGCCTCACCTCAGTTTACTCCAGCAATGACTAATCAATAAATCACCATCATGTGTATGAAATTCATGGGAAAATAAAGCAACTCAGAGCCTGCACGCAGTGACTGATATGAATGAACTGATACTTTTTGTCATGTCACTCTGTTCTGGTCTAAAGCCTAGTTTATACTCGCGCGGCGCGGAGCTTACGGAGGTGACGTGACGTCACTTGCGCAACGCGTTGGTCACCGCAAGGCCCTTACGTCGCCTGCCGCGCAGCATCGAAATTTTCTAACTACGGGTCGCCGCAAGGAAGCTCCGCTGTGATTGGTCCGTGTGTGTGTATTGGAAGGAAGCACGGAGCGGCTGCAGCAGGAGCATGGAGGAGGCACTATGGAGCAGAGAGCTTTGTGCTTCGAAGGAAAAGCAGTTTGGGCTCAGAGCCTGATATACAGGAGACTGTGGACTATCTAACATATATATAACTTATAAACTGTGCAGTCGTTTGTTTTGCACTATTCCTGTCTTGTTTGAATCGTAGCTGCGTTTGTTGCTTTCCTCCTGCACTCGTAAATCGTTCATGTTTGTCTCAGATATTTACCACTGTTATTGTTTTGCTGTTTGTGCTGAAAACTATTTAATAATAACTATGTTTCCAACAAGAACTGTGTCTTTATTCACAGCATCACAGTTGAAATGACTTATAAAATTATGAATCCATAAAACTATCACATAAACCTACAGTAGAAACACGTGTAATGAGCTCAAACAGCTTTGTTTGCTATTGTTGTTCTGAAGAGGACAAAGTAGCAGCGTAAATGGGGCCGCTCCTGTGTGATCGCCCTCATGTGGTTTGTTGTGGGATTACAACATTCTCCTCAAAACTCCGTAAGGGGAACGCGCCAGTATAACATCAATTGTGCTTACGTAGGTCCACCGCAACCGCTAACGTAAGCCACGCCGCGCAAGTATACACTAGGCTTTAGGGATGATGAGCGCTATGCACTTGTCACATATCAACTCTCTTGGTATGTTCTAATCTACAACATTGCATGTCATTAAACTTATCTGTCCTGTAGTGAAGTTTTGGGAGGGAGACATTTTTCCACTTGTCTATACTGTGAATTGAATTATGTCACCAGATTATTTTATCTACATAATCCGCCAGAAAAGTAAATTAAAGAACAGATACATCGTTTTAAGGACAGGCCAAATCAGACATTATACCATCAGATGAATATGTGGTACACAGCACATACACACGCTTCTCATTAGAGCAAAGCTTTAACCAACAACTATAACCATTAACAGACCAATAATACTAATAACAATGTTTTTATTTGAACGCATTGTTCTTAAGTAGATGGTGGAGGAGCGTGTCTTTCCTTCATCCATGGAACAGCGGCATCCATGCACACATAACATTGCGGTGGTCTTACCTTCACCTCTGTCACAAGATGTCCAAAGCTTGTCAGAGGAATGCGGGTTTTCACTGGAGAAGTCGGCATAGCTAAAGACACGCTCACAACCTTAATTTAGTATTCTTTACTACGTTTTATCCGAACTATTATTATTATTATTATTACTGAGGCCCTACAAAAAATAGATCCATGCCATGGCTAGGGGACAGAGGTACTTGTTGTTTCCGGGCGCATTGATTGACAGCAGAAACCAACCAATAGAGCTTTGGTTGGAATACTCCTAGCCAATGGGATTTGTTTTAGAGGGAGGAACGCCATGTTGTTACCAAACGTGCATGTCCCTACTTCTTCCACAAGATGGCACTCTGCTCTCAAAGAACAACAGAGATATCAAAAACACATAAAACGAGTCATATCATTTCTCACAGTAACAATTTTTAATCATTCATGTATTTATCATGAATTTATCTATGCATTTATTATATTATGCACTTAACATTTTTGCTAATTAATGAATTCTTATTCTCAACCTACCAAACAAGATAGAAAGTGCTAAATGGGAATAAGATTGAGATTAAGATTAAGAGATCCTTTGTTTGTCGCAAAGTGGAGACATTTCAGTGTTGAATCAGATGTTACAGAACAGTAGGAATGAGGAGATCACAATTTAATGGAGCAAAAAGTATAAAACACTGTGTACTCTAGTGAAATAAAATATTTTCTTGTGTGTAGATATCTACATCTGTAATGCACTGTAGAGCAAGACTATTGGGGTGGTAAGTCATTATCTCTGAGTGTTCACAGTGTACATGTTGGCAGCATGTACTGGTACTTCTATACATGCAGTCCTGAGGTTCTGCGCTGAAGAGTGACTAAACATGTGTAAACATTTGACACATGGGGTCGCATTTTCCACATTCTGACACTATTTCAAATTATTATATGTGTACTAATATATATATATATATATATATATATATATATATATATATATATATATATATATATATATATATATATATATATATATAGGGCGAACGGTCCTGATCATGAAGGACCCTGTGAAGGGTGCAGTCCCCTCCAACTCCCGGCCAATAACCTGTCTCTCCACAACATGGAAGTTCATGTCAGGCAATGATTAGCTATGTATAAGTGGGATATACTGTATGGGCATATGGAACAATTCATGAGCACAGCACAGAAGGGCATTGGTAGAGACACCAGAGGAGCCAAACACCAGCCCCTGGTTGACAGAACAGTCGCCCAAGACTGCCGGTCACGACACACCGACGTGTGCACAGCCTGGATTGATTACCAGAAAGCCTACGACTCAATGCCACACACATGGATCATGGAATGCTTGAAGTTGTACAATATCAACAGGGCTCTATAGGACTTCGTTGCAAACTCAATGGGGATGTGGAAGACCACCCTTGAGGCAAATGGAAAGCCGCTCACACAAGTGACCATCAAATGTGGTATCTACCAAGGAGATGCTCTGTCCCCACTACTGTTCTGCATAGCCCATTTGGCCCCACCGGCAACTATAGCTAAGTTTATCATTGTCATTTTCACAGAAAAAAAAATCCAAGGTATTAATGCAGGTTTTTCCAGTTATATGCTAGTAAACAACTTAGACAAAGTTATAGTAAAAAAAAAAATCATGTTTCCTGGTGCTTCCTGTCACGTGACATCATCAGCTTCCAGTCCTTTCCGAGTGAAAACATGGATGACACAAACCACCCAGAAAGATGTCATTTTCATAAATTTTGAATAATTTTCCCCCCAAACATAGAAATAATTATTTGATCATTCAAGTTTCTAGAGTAACCCTCCCTCAAAAAAATGTACCTGGGATAAATATTTTTTGAGTTATAGGCATGTTTCTGTGCGCGGCAACTTTAGTTGCCGGTGGGCACATATGATGTCACTGAAGGAAAGGAAAACAATAGTATACCTACTAACAGTGCCTCATAATTTACTTATTTTTAATTGTAGAATGGTGTACAATGACTAATTTTAAACCTCTTATATTACTCTTCACATCTATATAAAGTATACACAGGTATTCAATGCCTGTGTCCGTAGGATTTTGATATAGCTGTAGCTCAGACCCTCCTCCAGCGTCATGGAGTAAGACACAGGTGTCCAAACTTTTTAGTAAGAGGACCACACAATCATAAAACAAATGTAAGTAAATAACAATAGAGTCAAAGACAGGATTCCAGAGTGTCAGATTTACAGTAAGATATAGCATGACTGGATGACACTGTCAAAGTGCCTCAATGGCGCAGCAGAGGGCCACATAAAATGGCCCAGAGGGCCGCATTTGGTCCGGGGGCCTGAGTTTGAACATGCCTGGAGTAAGACGAAGTGGGCATAGCTGATGCCAGCAGGTTCGACAACCTCAACCACTGGCCTGCAACAGCGGTAGCAAGTAAGTACAAGTACAAGCGATGCAATTTCTGTGAGAAATGTGTTGTGCCGCTACATGTGGAGTGCTTCATGTATCATATTGTGTGTGTATAGGGCAGAATACATTTATATAACTTGGATATCTAGTATACTTTCCTGAAATTACCCTTGGCATCAGTCCTTGTTTATTTTTTGCTGTGGGGAAAAAGAAAAGCAATAGAAAGTACTTTTTTCCGTTTTTTTGGATCGCCAATGGGAAATTTCCCTTTTTGAAAACATTTGTTTTGTATTTTAGAATTAAAAAAACGTTCAAGTTGTTTGTTGTTTTAGATTTTAAAAAGGAGGAATCAAGCACAATCAGTTTGGTTGATTCAAACTTTCTGGGTTGATTATATCCAGTTATAATATCCATTATTACCTATTGACGTGATATTTGCCCACCGGCAACTATAGTTGCCAGCCCTAATAATGCTATAAGTATCTCGGTATACCACAGGCAAATGGTAACCTTGAACAGGCAACTTGGAAAGCGGCAACTGCCAAATACCTCCAGTAAGGCAAGCCCTAAGAAGCCAGCTCACTGGCAAGAACAAGGCCCGGGCAATGCCAGTGATCAGATACCCTACAGGAATAATCAGGTGGCCAAAGGAAGAGATTCATTCCACGGATGTTAAAACTAGAAAGCTCCTTACCATGCATGGCGGGTTCCATCCCAAATCCAGCACCCTGAGACTGTACGTAAGCCGTAAAGAAGGCCGAGGACTAGTGAGTGTGAGAGCCACTGTCCAGGACAAAACATCCAAACTCCATAACTACATCATGGAGAAGGCCAAAACAGATGACGTACTCAGTGAATGTCTCAGACAGTGGCGAGATGAGGAGGTGCTGGAGGAGAGCCCATCATGGGAGAACAAGCCCCTACACGGCATGTACCACCGGAGCATAACAGAAGTGGCTGATCTCAAGAAGTCCTACCAATGGCTAGAAAGGGCTGGCCTACAGGACAGCACAGAGGCACTCATCATGGCTTCACAGGAGCAGGCCCTGAGCACCAGAGCGATAGAAGCCCAGATATACCACACCAGACAAGACCCAAGGTGTCGGTTGTGCAAAGGAGGACCTGAGACGATCCAACACATAACTGCAGGGTGCAAGATGCTGGCAGGGAAGGCCTACATGGAACGCCATAACCAAGTGGCTGGCATAGTGTACAGAAACATCTGTGCAGAGTCTGGGCTGGAAACTCCAAGGTCTAAGTGGGAAACTCCTCCAAAGGTGGTGGAGAATGAGCGTGCGAAGATCCTGTGGGACTTCCAGATACAGACCGACCGAATGGTAATGGCGAACCAACCTGACATGTGGTGGTGGACAAAGGGCAGAGGACAGCCGTGGTGGTGGACGTGGCAATTCCAAGCGATGGTAACATTAGGAAATAAGATCATGAAAAGGTTGAGGGGCAGTGATTCCGAGTGCACTTGTCTTCCGGTCCCTCTCCATCTCCTCTCTGAGCCCCTGGTATTACTTTTAGAGCTTTATTTCCTGGTGTTAGATTGCTCCAAATCTGAGGGTATCTCAGGGTCTTGTCCATGAGTGAGAAGAATGGAGCGTGAGATTGACAGACGAATCAATTGTTCGAGCTTTATTTAGGCAAATTTGATCTATACTATGAATAATGAAAATAGACATCTAAATGGTTTGATACTGAATTTGTGTATTTTAATAATACTTTACTAACTGTGAATACACTTGTCTGAGGTTGTAAAGAGGTCATAGAGAACACAGTTTACTCGCCTGATGCACCAGCCATTTTGCTTAGCAAAAACAATACGCTGGAAATCAGACAAATTCCAAAGAACCTATTTACATTGGCAAGGCGTTGAGTGACTAGACTCCTCCTCTTACAGTATCTTGCAATTATAAATGAGAGATTGATCACACTTTCTCTTATGTAAAATATAAATGTACACACGATAAAGGGATCAGATATATAGTTTATGGAGCCCAAAGTCTTTTTCTACACCTGTATTTTTGTTTTTGTTTTTTTTTCTTTTTTTTTTTAACAGGACAATGTGAGACATAACTGTCAAAAGCTGCCTAACAGGTTAGAGAAGAAAAGTTAAAGTGTTCGTTAAAAAGTTGTCCTACAAAGCCTTTGAGGATCATTGTCATCAAATAACAAAATACAATTTATTTTATTGGTGTCCATCCCTTGTTTCGTGAAAATGTTATCGTCTTGTCAGGTGCTTTAGTTTGTTTACTATCATGAACCCTGTCAGCTGGAGCTACTCATCCTGGGGACCAAGTTGTGAAACATTTAAAAGTACATAATGCAATTCATTCATATTCACACAGCATAGTCAAATTACTCTAGAATATAACCACAAATGTAACTTTAGGATTAAGTGATCCTTTATTTGTCCCACAGAGGGGAAATTCCAGTGTTACATCACAAGTTACAGAAATAGTGAATAACAACACAAGATAAATGAATAACAACACCATACTAAAATAAAATAAAATAAAATATCTAACTCTAGAATAAAAAGAACCAGGGTAAAATGTCTTTCTTTAGCATTGAAAGGAAATACGTCTAAAATTAGCATGATGAAGAAGCAAAATCTCTGACTTTAGCATAATATGAAGCAAGTATAAAAGACTGTCTATAGCGCAAGTATTTTATGGTTGTGTGTAGACATCATGTTAGCAGCTTAAGGTTATGGGACAAATGAATAAAAGTGACAGTGACACATGTGGTTCCATACCCACAGGTTGGCAGCGTTTGTTAGTTCTCATTGTTCGTTGTACAGCCTGACCACAGCAGGAATGAAAGACCTGCGAAACCTCTCCTTCACACAGAAAGATTGAATAATTTCGTCAAGCTTTTTCAATCTTGTGCCCTGCAGGGGGTGACAGTCATGGTCCAGCGGATGTTAGTTTGTCCAGGACCCTCCTGTCCCCCACCTGCTGCACTGTGTCCAGGGAACAGCCCAGGACTGAGCTGGACTTCCTGATGACCTTGTCCAGCTTCTTCCTGTCCCTCTCTGATGCTGCTGTTCCAGCAGACCACACCGTACAAGAGGCTGATGCCACCACAGAGTCATAGAAGGTCTTCAGGAGTTAAAGAAGACCTTATTACCTTACCTTACTCACGATACTTTGCTTTGTTGCATTTGAATTGACTTTACCTATGGTGAAGTTCCTTTACCCAAATTTCAAAATAACATACCCAGACATGTGAGTGTAAATTTCACTTTATAAATTAGAAAACTATCATCATCCTCATTTACTGGCAATACTTTTGTTTCAAACAGCATTACAGACAGAACGGGCAGAGTCAAAGATCTGTGTCAGAGGTTCCTGACACCCATGTGTCTGGTTTTGATGACATGTTTAAAGGGAGGAACGTTCTTTTGCATGATAAGTCATAAAAGGAAGATATGGAGTTATAGCATCACTAGTTTTGGCATCTATCTTTCTCAAATGTTTTTTTCATGTTACGCTATTCAAGGACCACAGAGACTTTCGTTGTTTAGGCTATTTGGTGCCGAAGGTTTGGCCTTTTCTATGATGACGTAGATTTCCATATTTAATGTATCTGTGTCTTTTGTTCTGCCTGAAATTAACGACCATTTTGTGAATAAACCAGCCAGGAGGCTTTGTCGTACAAAGATCCCGTTTTGCCTGAGTCTGATTCCTATCACTATTATCTTGAGTAATGGCTGGTTTTCAGTCACCACCTTACATCAAATGTAACCCACTAATAGAATATTTTGAACCAATTATCCAACTATTTGTTTTTGCTACATTCAACACTGATTTTGTTGAACCCTGTCTGTAATAGTGCTCAGCTCTTCAGCAGATAATGCAAAACTGAACAATCATTTGAATCATTGGCGAACATCCCAGTTGCAGTATTTGCTAAGAGGTCTCCAGTAATAAAGCTGAAGAAGATGGGCCAAGACACTTCTGACAAAACAATCGGACAAAAATACTGATTGCGTTTGATTTGTTTGTAAGTTGATCCTTTTTTATGGTGTCAAACACAGCAGAGTGATGCAGCATTGCTGCCACAACTATTTTCTTCAGGTTGATTTGTGGAGGCAGTCGTGTCGTCTGCTGTGGATGTATGTGACCTGGTCTTAAAGCATGTTGAACATTTGTGAGTATAGTCCTTTTCTGAGCAAATATTTGACTTAATTTGATTGTGTACGTATCGGTGAAGGATTTATGGGATGAGACTGATGTTTGAACATGAACATGGTGACGTTTGAACCTCATGAATATACTCTTTGAGCCTTTAATGGGGAAAAGGAACAAGACAAATGTAAGTATAAGATGAAGCAGAGAATGGGGGATATCACATCAGTGACCAATTTTCAAAGTCACATCTGAACCTGGTGTCAAACATGCAGCCTGCAAGCCATTTGCAGCCAGTCTGTGCAAATATGGAATGTTATACCTTGTTTTAAAGCTTATTATATCAAGAAAACAACCACCCGACTCATTTTACTTTCAACATTGAACCCTGAATGCAATAAGCAACAATTAAAAGTAAACATTATTAAACCAAGTCTACAATACAAACCAGGGTTTTTGTCCAGGGTGGTTTCAACCCAAGCAGCTGGATTCATTTTGTTCATAGAAATATATTGAAACATATATATTTCAATATGAAACGAACTACCAAAAACGATTGATTCATTCTTGTTTTTTTTCTTCTGTTCTACGGGCCCAAACGGTTACTTTCTATACTGCTAATGTCAAAGAATGAGAAGATAACACATTTTAAATGTGGTGGCATATTATATTTCTTCAGGAGCTCAACTGTGTGTGTGAAGTAGAATAGCGTGTGCAATTGTAGTGGTTTAATTCTTTCTCTGTGTGTGCATAGGTCTGTTTGATTCGATGTTCATACTCTGCCCCCCCAGATAAATTTGAGTTTGGGACCCCTGACTTTTCATGTGAAATATTTTTCACATTACTTCTTTTTTCATTGGATGGTACATTTTGATGAAGCATGAACATATTCTTCTGTTCCATATAGTTTTATTATATTGTTATTATTTGTTATCTTTCCAATTGGTCTCCAATCTTAATTATTGTGAGGGACAGTAAACATTTGTGTGTAATTACAGAGAAAATATGCTCAATGAATAAATATATAAACGTACTGTCAGCTATTTCACTCGGGATTTATTGCAGAGAACAAACTTCCAAGAGGAAAGCTGCTTGCAGGGCACTTTTTATATTCTTCAGGTGACCATTGAAGTGCCCCTGTCTTCTGTGTCTGTCTCGGTCTCTGAATAAGCCACCCTAGACAAAACCGAAAAGAAGCTTTTATTCTCTGCACATAAACGGTCTCAGGGGAAGATGGGACACTGGCTCGGGCCGGGCTCCTCACTCTCCTCCCATGTGCCACGAACCTGCCGGAAACCCCCTCCACCTTGCTGCGCGCATTGGACGTACGCTCGGGTGCAGGTCCATCCTTGGACGGGAGCACTGTTTCCAGCTCCGCTGCGTTCCTAAGCTGCCTACCCTTTGAGCTCCCTGCTTCTCCAAGTGAAACCCACTGGTGAACCCCACTGTTGAACCCCACCGGTGTAACCCACTGGTGAGGAGGAAGCAGGCGGGGCGCGCCCCGCAGGAAGAAGCACGAGCGCAGCGCGCGAGCGCAGGAGCAGAGGCGGCGACGGCACGAGGGGCCAGCGGCGGACAGCCACAAGGGGAGGAGGGACTCACTTCTCTCCCCGCTCTCTCTCGCTCCTCGGACTTTCACTTCCCCGTGTTTGGTCCCAAACGCTTCCTCGTTAAGATGGCTGACCCCAACAGCGACGGAGAAGTACCGGAGAGCGCGCGCGGCTTCGCCCGTCAGGGCGCCCTCCGCCAGAAGAATGTCCACGAGGTCAAGAACCACAAGTTCATCGCGCGATTCTTCAAGCAGCCCACATTCTGCAGCCACTGCACGGACTTCATCTGGTGAGTGTGTGAGTGTGGGGGACACAGGTGATACACTTGCTGCTGCGGCTCTGTCTGGCCTCCTTCTCCTCATTCTGCTCTCATACTGCAGTCTTTCATTCACTGTCCCTGCAAAAATACTGCAACACGCCATTCTTGTTTTTCATATTGCGACAGCACCGCGGGGCCGTGCTTGTGGATCTGGGCACCGAGCAAGCTGATGCTGACGTTTACCGCATTTAACAGCTGCTGTTGATGGAGGTGTTGGAGGAATGCCGCTGGAGACAGGGCTCTGTACCCACTGCTGCTGCAGATGTCTCCTCTGCCCTGAGAGTGGGATGTCCAAGATGAACTGGCCATCCGTGCTCCTCCTGCCTGTGCCTGTAGCTGCTTTTTTATGTTGAATTCCTGAAAGTAACAGTGCTGCTCTGTGTTGACAGGGGCTTCGGAAAGCAGGGATTCCAGTGCCAAGGTAAGGCTCATTCACAAATCCCTCCACTCAGAATATGGCTGTGTGCGTGTGTGCGTGTGTGTGCGTGTGTTTGTGTGTGCTTGTTCAATGCACCAATGCTGTGACCTGTTGGCTCTCTTTTCAGTGTGTTGTGTGAGACCTATAGCAGGTGCTGGGCAGAGCTAAATGTAGCAGTAGGGGTTGTTATGTGAAGGGGCAAATAGGCTGAGAGGCAGCTTTGCTGTGAGGTGTAAGAGTAGAAGAGCCCGCTGAAAGGTGAGCTGTCTGCTGTTAGCCATGAGAGATGGTACTTCAGACGGACAGATCAGGAACTGATCTTCCTCCAGCCTCTCTTGACAATTGATTAGAATTGTAAAATGGTGGGTTTCCATGTGTGGGTGGGTGTTGATGTGAGTGTGGGTGGGTGCTCAGCACCAGTGGGTGCGAGGGTGTCTAGACACAGACCTTTACACAAAATGGAGTGACTCCACTCCACTCAAGTGCATCCTACTGTACAACAAGCTGCATTGTCACTTCCTTCATTCAGTCAAGTGACCAATATTGTGATATGTGTGAAGAAACAACAGCTATTACTGAGTCAGTGGATCTCGCAAAGTCAAGTCCACATTGGCAAAGCTTAGAACTTGTCTGTGGTGGCTGTAAAGGAAATGTTCAGGACCTATAGGAATGTGCAAGTTGTGTGTTAAATAGAAACACATAGTTTCTGTCAGCCTTGTGCTTTTGCCGTAGTACTGCTACTACTGTTGTGCATTAGTACTGTAATTCTACAACTTAATTTATTGTTTGCTTGTGATGGGTGTAGGTCAATGTGTCAAAGCTGATGTAAAGCTCTACTAATCAATATTGGCACTCAATATTTGGACTAGCTGAATCCATCATTTGAACAATTCAATTAGAAGACATTGATTTGGTGATTATTAAAGTTTCCCAGCAGGTTTAAGTTCTCAATCCTAAACCATACTCGTTGTATAAGTTGTTTTCTTAAAAAACCTGTAGTTAATGTTTTAGAAAAATACAGATTAAGTATGCTTTTTTGTCTTTTGTTTTCATTTAGTTTGTCTGTACTGTGGGATTGTAGCTCCACAACACTGGTTCTCTTGTATATAATGGTTCACACTATAAAACTAAACTTTCACAAATTCATATTAGGGTTCTTTTATTTTCACAATCGGATCCTTTCCTAATTGACTGGAACATGGTATAGCTCTACATATACAAATTGTAGAGCTTTAGGATTGTAGAATTTAATCCTAAAATAGAAATTTTTCTGATGTTGATTGAAAAAATCAACATCAGAACAAGAACAATGAAAAGTTCTAGTGTCTAGTGTCTAGTGTCAAGTTATGAAATATTTTTTCATTATTTAAAATAAAGCAGCCTCATTATAATCCGGCAAAATGACTTCTTTCGAGAATTAATTTTATGTAATTGTTTTTGAAGTTTTTTGGTACTAGCTAGTCAGGCTTGTACCATTATGCATTTCGAAGACATATAACAACCTTTGTGGACTATCACAAAGAAGAAGAGATGTTTTGCTAAGGATGGCATTGTCTGTAAAATATAGAACCCTAATATGTTGCTTTTTTATTCTCCCTTTTGAACATGTGAAGGAACTGAACTGAACTGACTATATAAATCACATGGTTCAAAATGAACTGAAATGAGTGAATGAATGTAAAAAACATTCAATATTAAAGTTTTAAACATTCTTCATTTACCTTGCAAAAGTATTCCGCCCCCTCGAACCTTTCAACATTTCGCCACATTTTGCTTCAAACATAAAGATATAAGATTTTAATTTTTTGTCATGATTCAACAACAAGTCGGACACAATCGTGAAGTGGAAAGAAATTTATTGGATCATTTAAACTTTTTTTAACCTTTTTACAACAACCGGCGCGCCGGCGGCCGTTTTTATGTTTTTAAATGTTCTGCTGGCAATAGCAGATGTATTTTGAACACCAAACCCCAAAAGCTGTATATCATTTTAAAGCTTATTTTCTTATCTACATTTATATACAAAGTGTAAACTACATCAAACTTTGCATTCAAAAGATATAACACATAATGTGGGCACAGAATAAATCAATTCCAAAATAGTTTTTTACCTTTGGGCTTGTGCTGTACAAATAAATCAGCTCTCCTCCCAGCTTGCAATACATCATTCTCTCTGGAACAGTCCAAAGGGAAATTATATCCACTTGTATTTCCCAAAGTAAAATCCATTCTGCAGAAATAATCCAAAAATGTGCATTTATCTTTAGCGAAAAAAACGAAAAAAAAGAGCACAGATGTTACTCTTTCACTTTTAACGGACTTTTAGCTTTGTTTTTCACCCAAACATCTGGTATCTACGTGTTCCTTAGCTCCTTATCTTTCAAATGAGACTACTCCCGAAAAGCTAGACCAATTTTTGGGTCTGCAAGAGCTCCCGCGAGTACAGCTAGTGCTGCTGTTTGCGCATTGATCACTGATCTTTGTTGTGATCCCAACTTGTTTGCTTTTACTTCCGGGATTTACGATTGACATGTCCTTGTAGCCAATGAGGAAAGCTTTCGAACAAGGGGTGGGACAATGGTGTCCTGTCTTATGTTGGGCCTGGACAATTGTGCGTAATGGCAGCCAAAAGACGCTCTCGAAGCTGCAATGAATTTACACTCATAAAAAAATAACTTTGACATTTAAAAAAGAAAAACACACATAGATTAGTAACTTATAAGTACCAATAGTAAAAAATATTGTTTTTATGATGATTAAATGTAAGTAAAGATATTGTGCACTACTTGATGAAAAGGAGAAACTGCATAAAAACTATAAAACTTAGAAGTCTGAAACTTTAGACAGTTGTTGTCAACAACACAATGAACAGAGGGTTTGAATATTGTGAACTTACAATGAAGTATGCCTTTTTTAGGGCCTTTAGAAATTGAAAATGTTAGGCAAGGCTAAAAAAATTGATTTTTTTCCCCTAACTTCAAAGGATGCAGAGGAAAATAGGAATGACAAACATTATTTTAGTGTTTTTTTACATAAACTAGAAGGCTCTAGCTTTAAAATGATGCATCACACAAGCATGTGAGATGTAAGATGTGTTTTTAAATAAGCAAAGACATTTGGGTATGCCCAACTTTTGTGCACAAGCCAAAATGAGGCGGGTTTTAAACAAATAAAAAACTGAATAATAGCAATATTATTCGGCCCCTTTACTTTCAGTGCAGCAAACTCACTCCAGAAATTCAGTGAGGATCTTTGAATGATCCAATGTTGTCCTTAATGACTGATGATGATAAATAGAATGCACCTGTGTGTAATCAAGTCTCCGTATAAATGCACCTGCTCTTTGATAGTCTCAGGGTTCTGTTTAAAGCGCAGAGAGAACCATGAAGACAAAGGGACACACCAGGCAGGTCCGAGATACTGTTGTGGAGAAGTTTAAAGCCGGATTTGGATACAAATAGATTTCCCAAGCTTTAAACATCTCAAGGAGCACTGTGCAAGCAATTATATTGAAATGGAAGGAGTATCAGGCCACTGCGAATCTACCAAGACCCGGCCGTCCCTCCAAACTTTCATCTCAAACAAGGAGAAGACTGATCAGAGATGCAGCCAAGAGGCCCATGATCACTCTGGATGAACTGCAGATAACTACAGCTGAGGTGGGAGAGTCTGTCCATAGGATAACAATCAGTCGTGCACTGCACAAATCTGGCCTTTATGGAAGAGTGGCAAGAAGAAAGCCATTTCTCAAAGATATCCATAAAAAGTCTAGTTTAAAGTTTGCCACAAGCCACCTGGGAGACACACCAAACATGTGGAAGAAGGTGCTCCGGTCAGATGAAACCAAAATCGAACTTTTTGGCCACAATGCAAAACAATATGTTTGGCGTAAAAGCAACATAGCTCATCACCCTGAACACACCATCCCCACTGTCAAACATGGTGGTGGCAGCATCATGGGTTGGGCCTGCTTTTCTTCAGCAGGGACAGGGAAGATGGCTAAAATTGATGGGAAGATGGATGGAGCCAAATACAGGACCATTCTGGAAGAAAACCTGTTGGAGTCTGCAAAAGACCTGAGACTGGGACGGAGATTTATCTTCCAACAGGACAATGATCCAAAACATAAAGCCAAATCTACAATGGAATGGTTCACAAATAGACGTATCTAGGTGTTAGAATGGCCAAGTCAAAGTCCAGACCTGAATCCAATCGAGAATCTGTGGAAAGAGCTGAAGACTGCTGTTCACAAACGCTCTCCATCCAACCTCACCGAGCTCGAGCTGTTTTGCAAAGAAGCATGGGCAAGAATTCCAGTCTCTCGATGTGCAAAACTGATAGAGACATACCCCAAGCGACTTGCAGCTGTAATTGCAGCAAAAGGTGGCGCTACAAAGTATTAGTGCAAGGGGGCCGAATAATATTGCACGCCCCACTTTTCAGTTTTTTATTTGTTAAAAAAGTTTAAATTATCCAATACATTTTGTTCCACTTCGCGATTGTGAACCACTTGTTGTTGATTCTTGACAAAAAAATACATTTTTATATCTTTATGTTTGAAGCCCCAAATGTGGCGAAATGTTGAAAGGTTCAAGGGGGCCGAATACTTTCGCAAGGCACTGTATATAAGCGTCCTGCATTTAAAACTAATAATTTAGATCATTATAAATGGTTGAATCATAACTGGATATTCACATGTGCTTTGTGACAGAAATAGGAAATGTAGTGTAATTATGTTTTCGTGATATTTCGTGAGATTTCGTGAAGTGTTAAGTAGCATAGACTTACAGTATTGTGGTTTTAAACCAATAGTGGTGAAAAAAGGTCTAAAATGACAACTTTCCTCCACATCGTCACATTCTGTCCTGGTTGAATGAAAGGTCAAATGTGATTATGATACATCTCCAATTGCTTGGATTTACATTACGTTCAAAACAACTTATCTTCATCAGGTCTCTTGCTTTGAAGGAAAATATTCCACAAACTCTCACTAAATATCCCAC